CCTGCCAAAAACATATCAAGCACGAACAAATCTTGCCAAGTGATTGTTGATTGGTTTGTTAATATGCAAAAATGTGTTATCAATGTAAGGCAAACAAATGCTATGGTTCCTAGGAGATGTGACCATATATTAACTTTTTAAAAAATGTTTAATAATATTAATTTCTTTTTCTTAAACACAATGTAATCAAGTAGCCGATCAAATAGTTAACTTACCAAACTCATTATGAATGTAAAATAGTGAATATGTGCATTTGAGATATGAAAATGTTGGCCTTCGATATCCTAAAAAGATTTGTTTCAAGACGATTATGTCACTGTATCCTTCCATGATTTTCTGTATATTTCACCTATCAAAGAAAAACATACCACTGACTATATTACGATTATCTTGACACCAATAAGGTAAATCTCCAAAATTACAAAGCGAACCATATGTCGCTGCCTCACTAATTACTTTACTACTATCATCTAAACCATTATAATTATGATTCTCTTCTGGTTTAGTTGATGATTCAATGTCTATGACATTACTTGAAACAACTGAGGTTGTCGTTTCAGATAAAGATTTTTCTAGATTTGTCATTTTCTTATGAGAGTTATTTAATTGACTCTTTCTATAAAGAAATATTATTGCAATATGTTTTAATCAACATATTTATATACAGTATATATATTTGGAAATATGACTAATACAACTAAAATTCTGAAAATGAAAAAAAAAACAAGATTTGAAGCGCTAAAGCTTTAATGATAAAAGTATGTATTCTTATTACCTTCATGGAGTTATGAGTAACCTTGCACGGAAACCAAAAACATTAAAACACTTAAACAAATTAATCATAGTGTGTGTATCAATATAAAATAAACTCTTAAAGATCCAATCGAATCAAAACAACAAAAAAAAAAAAACTGTGAAATAGCCATAAACAATAATTATTATCTAGTAAATTGCCGCGTGTCGTTTGTAAATTTAGACAACTTAAATATAAAGGACTGGACATGATAAAACTTTGTATGTTATTCATATTTTCAGTGCTAAAACTGTGTTGGCATACATAAAAGTCTGAATAAATGCCCTGATTTTATAACACGTTTGAGAATTCGCCACCTTGTAGCAAGAAACTACGTGTATTATCCCATGAAAGAGACGGCAAATAGAAAACCTAGGACAGGTTACATCAATCTTCAAACAATATTCAGATTACGATAATACTGTATATAAATACTTATTTAAGCTTCGAAAACACGATTTAAAACTACTTATCTTTAATGGTAATTCTTTTTTTACGTATACGTAGTGCGGGACAGCATAAGACAATCAATGCGCCAATTTTTAAAAATTTTTTATAATAAAATTTTATATTAAAAATATGGGGAATTTACAAATAAGGGCCCAAAACGAAAATAATTACAGATAGAGGCCCGATATTTGAAATTATTACAGATAAGGGCCAAAATAATTATGCGCTTAATTAAGAATCTATAATTTAGGCCGTTTCTATGATTTGAATATGATTGTAAGATAGTCATTAATTGCTCAATAAAAATGTACATTCGATTTGTCAACAAATTATTTACGCTGTAAATTTATTCCATTGAAATTCTTGATATATTTCTAAAAAACCTGCCTGCTTATAACAAATACAAAATTACAGATCGATTTGATTTTACTAACATAAAAATGTTCATTCGGCCCTGGATAGTTATTCTGTCGAATTTTCTTCTCCTTATAAGTTCAGAACGAACAAACAAAATAAACTGTTGGCTATTTGTTTTACAAACTAAACAAGTCATACCCTTTTACTATTTCAGCTAACAAGTGCAAAAGTGGTTACCTCATGATCCAACTTATTTAACTTCTATAGAAGCAGCCAAAGCACGTGGATCATATCTTGTATTTATTGTGCTATTAGTTAAAGAAATAGCAGTACTTCGACCTCGTGATATTATAAATCGTGTTCGTTTTGAAGTAACCATATATGGTAGTTTGAGAAGTAAAACTATTAGATCACATAAAGTTAATTTTTCGTTTTGCTCAAAAATCCGTTTGGTCGATCGGATTTTTGTGTTTTCTTTTTAATTCTGAATAATGAATAATAACTCTAAAACACCTACCTATTTAATCACGAAATGAGGCAATTAATCAGGATACCATTATGTTTAAATCGGCTAGCAATTTTGACGGATATGTAATAATTTTCAAATATTGGGCCTTTATTTGTAATTATTTTCATTCTTGAGCCCTTACGTATCTGTAAATTCCTCTAAAAAATATTAACCAATCAAAATTTTTATAAACGCAAAATCTATACAGTATCTGATATATTTTTACTAGGTAAATGCATAGCATTGTGTGTCCGGAGCTTAATATTTAACTAAAAAAATAAAATATACTAAATTTAAAT